GGGCCCCGCTGCCCGTGCTGAGCATCCGCCCTGCGCCAGGGCCTGCGCTGGGCACCACGACGACGGGGACAAGGGAACCGAGGTTCCTGCCCTTAAGAAGCTCCAAGTCCGACCTCGAGAACAAACATCTCAACCAGAGGACACAGGACAGCAGCGGGCAGGCCGCTTAGGTTTCCGCCCTTGAGGCTCAGGGAGCTATCTGACGCTCCCGAGAACCTCGATAAAAAGTCGTCATGCACGGTAGCTTTTTGTTGGGAAATAAACGAAGTGTTGGTCTTAACATTTCAATTATAAGAGGCCTCTCTAGGCCCGGTCCCTCCTCGGCGGAAACTGCTCCGGGGGAACACCGTCGTTGAGAAACACGCAGGTAGAAAGGTCTCGGCTGCAAACAGTGAAACTCGCACTCACCTGAGGAGCCACGAGGCCGAACGCAAGGATCCGCGGGAACAAAAGGCCGGGCGGTAGAGGGCGTCCCAGGCGCGGTGTCATTCGGAGGTCGCTCTGTCCTCGGGGGACCAGCTGTCCGAGTTCCACACTCCCCGGGGCTCAGCCTCCAGCCTGGTGAAGAGCCTCGTCCAGACAGTTCCAGGCCACACACCCCAACCTCGCGGCAGCTTTCCAAGCGAAACGCCTGCGAGTTCCTCTGCGCAGGTGCGCTGAAGTCACGTGCTCACCCCCAGCCAATCATTGTGGCCAAACACAAGGTGGCCCGCTCTGATTGGCTTAGCTTAGGTCACATGCTCCGCCCCTGGAAGTCGGCCCTGGGCCACATGCGCCGCTGGTGCAGAGAAATGGGGAGATGCGGGGAGGGAAGGACAGGGACACGGAGACGCGAATTGCAGGTTCCCCTGGGGGGAGGGACACAGGGACGCAGGCGGGGTTCGTGGCCTTGCTTTTCACACGCTCCTCTGCTGTCCCTGTGGCGGCACCGCCTTCGTGGAGGATTCTTCACTTTTTTTTGCCTGAGAACCAGGCGCTGGGAAGCTGGTCACGTTACCGGCCTCTTCCCGCGCGGAGGGGGGGGCTGCGCTCTGGGATAGCGACCATCGGTTACCATCCCCTCCCTCGCCCCGCTGGTCTCGCGTCCTTCGTTCCTGTTCCTCCTCCGCTGGGCATTTCGGGACCCAGACCTCTTCCCGTCCGTCAGGGGGCACCCCGCACGGTCCGGGGGGGCACCCCCCCGCGCCCCAGCTGCTCTCCTCCCTCCGGAGCCGGCGGCGGTCTCCATCCCCGGGGGCCCCCCCAGGACCCCCGTGCGGTGGGGTCCTACATCTCTTCCTCTGCTACCGCTTTCGGTGTCAGGAGGGAGGGGAGATGAACACACGGTCAGGCATCTTTTATAAACCGAAACCGCTCTCCCACATCTTCACCCAAACCGCAGCCTCCTGTCCTGCCCGCGGGCGGCCCACGGACACTGAGGTCAGGACTAAGCGACGGGTGCTCTCCAGGCT